CAATAAAGAATAGATGTAGTTGATAGAAAAAGAAGGAACAGATGATGGTAGGGAAGGTGCAGTGTCAGAAAGGCTTTCAATAACCCAGATGTTCAAATGTCCGCGGATTTCACTCTACACATTAACCTACTATAGGAGGTGAGCTGTGGCCCATGGTTTAGCCATTAATTCCTCCCTAAATTAATTCCTGGAGAAATAATAGGCAAATAGCACCCGCCCTGCAGCACTTTTTTTTTAATGCTGTAAGATAAGGATTAAGAAACCCCGTGGCCCAGTAAGAAACCCATTTAGCAGTCTCTTTGTACTGATAAAATTTCTTCTGGCACTGAACTCCCGCTGTCAAAAATACTATAACATTTTACTAGTTTGCAAAAGATGAAAATGTTACCAGATGTTAAATTCAAGGAGCAAGTTAACAGCTTCTGTTTTCAAATGGGTAGGTTTCTATCTTAAAAAAGAAATAATAATAATAATGAAAAGGGGCTTCATTTGCCAGCCACAGCATTAAAAAAGTCGAGTCATTTCTGACTCGATTTTGTAATGACTTAGTCTCACAGGATCCCGCTTTTAAATAATGGGCTATGTGCTAATTATTTTAATTCCCAGCAGGCCTTCTAAAGGTTTCTTTTGAACCCAAAAGGCATGGGTTCTTCAGAACAAAGTAATTAAATAACTTTTACCCAGGGGCATTATGGCCATAGAGAGAACCTGCCTGAATGCAGGAAATCTCACCATTGTTCGTGTGTTACATAGTTACATATTTTTTGCTCTGCCATGGTGATATCCCTCCCGCCGTTGTGTAAAAGGTTTATGGAAATGAAAGCATTTCAGGGGTCGCTTGCTCACCTGGCTCATTAATCAGGGATGGGCTTGTTACCTAGTCCTTCTTGAGTCCTTTCACGTGAGTCAGACGAGTGGAAATTCGAGAAGAATAGGAGATGTGAACGCTCGTGTGCACTCAGTGTGGGCCTGTGTTTTTATTGGTCTTTGGATGGTTTGCACGGGATACTTGGGAGACACATGCATGTGGCATTTTTCATCTGTATCCCGGAAGGATTTTTTCAATGTTTCACCTTAGGTTCTTCAAAGAATAATTCTTCAGTTCAGTAATAGCTATAGAAACCTTCTTTGATATCCAAGGGTGGTGAGGAACTCTCCTTTGATTAAGGGACGCTCAAGTGATTGAAGAACACTATAATAGATGAAATAGGGGTGGATGTCAGTCATGTCCCATTAAGTCAGGCTTATTAAAGGCAAAATTGAGCCTCTCATAGAATATTTGACTCCACATATAAAAACAGGCGGTGTTAGACTCCTACCTCCTGTAATTTTTCCTTTTCTGTTCCTTCCTGGGATGTGCTAATCATTTCAACCCTTTTTCTGAATACGGTTGGTGATGACAACGTGATCTTCCCATTGGCAACGGGGTAGCCGTGGTTTTAACTCTGTGCGGGGCCTTCGGTTGTCGGTCCTGGACATTTTGCGTTGCGCTTGTGCTAAGTCACTTTAGTCATGTCCAACTCTTTGCAACCCCATCGACTGTAGCCCGCCAGGCCCCTCTGTCCTTGGGATTCTGCAGGCAAGAACACTGGAGCGGGTTGCCATGCCCTCCTCCAGGGGATCTCCTGACCCAGGGATGGAACCTGCGTCTGGTAGGCCACCTGTATTGCAGGCAGATTCGTTACCAGTAGCGCCACCTGGGAGTTCTCAGACGATGCCTGGTAGAACACCTGTGGTTTTCCGGATGTTTACAACACCCCGTTTGAAATGGGACAGGGAAGCATGTTACTGCAGACACTAGTCCTCCACACGGCCGTGAAATAAAGATCAGTAATTTCCTACCACACTTTCAGGATTTTGAAATTAAGAGGACTCACATTTCGGTTACAAAGGCTTTCTTCAGAATTAATCATGTAGTTGAAACTTCCCTGGAAAGAGACAGACGCGTATGTGAAAAGTGCCCTTTAGCCAGGGAGCAATTTGTTGGTGTTGACAATCTGTACAGGGCTTGAGAAGGCAAAGCTGCATGTGCACAACGTCACTGATGCAGTAATGTGCACATCGAATTTGGGGTTTGTATGGACAATTCTATCTGCAGAGCCATGCGCCTCTCTCCTGGACTCCAGACCCACGTGCACGAGCCGCCTGCTTCCCTCTTCCTCCCTGCCTCCATTCCCCCTCTCTTCTCCTCCTTCCCTCCCGCTTCCCTTCTCCCCTAGATGAAACAGAACATTTACTTTGTACCAAGCATCCTTTGCTTAGTTGCTAAGTCCTGTCTGACTCCTTGTGACCCCAGGGACTGCAGCCCGCCAGGCTCCTCTGTCCATGGGCTTCTCCAGGCAAGCATCCTGGAGTGGGTCGCCGTGTCCTTCTCCAGGGGATCGTCTCTAACTAGGGCTCAAACTCTCATCTCCTGCAATTCCTACACTGGCAGGTGGGTTCTTCACCACTAGAGTCACCTGGGGAACCATCAAGCATCAGGCCATGACCTATGTGATCTCCATGAAATGTAAAACCTAAAGGAAGACATACTAAAGATAGAGTCTCATGACTATTACCTACATCCTTAGGACAGAGATGATTTTCCCAGAGAGCCTTGATCCTCCCGGGACCTTTCTTCTCTCTTGAGAGGGACCTCCCTCCTCCGACTCACACCGGCAGGGCTCTTTCCTCTCTCCTTGACATGCGGCCTCTGAACAAGCAACGGCCATCACACCCCGTAGCCCCTGCTGCCCGCTCCCTCCTGCCCATCCCCCTTCCTGGCCGCGGGGCCTCCTCTCTCACTGTGTTCCACTCACTGTGAAACCAGCCTCTTTTCCTTCAACGCAGCTCCCCTCCAGGATGGTCCTGACATTCGTTTTTCGAGATCACATATGTACCGAGGGCCCGGAACATCACTGCGTTGGTCACTGTGCTGGGTTTACCTTTCAGCACATACAGCCGACCTTGTCTCTCCTCTCTCAGGCTGAGAAACCTCTGCTGACCTCAACCCCTGAGGCCAGTGTCCGGCCCTTCACCGTGGTGTGCGTGGTCTTCAGACTGAGCCCCACCTTTTTCCTGTCTCTCCCCACCCTCTTTGCTCCTTCCCTCCTCCTCCCTTCCCTCCTTTCCTTCTTCCTCTTTCTTTCTTTTTCTCTCCCTTTCTCCCTCCTACGTTTCCGCTTTTCTCCCCAGCCCGCACCAGCGCTTCCCTTCCCAGACCTATCCGTGCCTCTAGATCTCTTCAAAGACCGGTCTCTGTGCTTCTCCTTTATTCTCCGACACAGTTCTACTAACCTTTTAAGACCCAGCCCTCCACGCAGGAGAAGCAGAACTGGGTCTCCCCCCAAGCTTAGCCTCCCTCACGGTGATGTGTTTTCATCGGTCTACGTGAGCAGTTTCCGTCTTCTGTTGTCTTTTCACCCGACAGCTGAAAATTCCAGTTAATTTGTCTTTTAGAACAAGAGGTACAATTAGATTTCATTAAATGATAAATGTAGGAAAGGTAGGGTACTGTTACTACTGCTCAGACCCACCTGTTCCACCCCCACCCCCGCCCTGAACGGTGCCCCTCAGCATCTGGTTCTCTCAAGCGAGATGACTGGTGAGGATTAGGATAAATCTGTGGCCGAAGCACAGAGACTCGGGCCGGGAACACTTTCTCTGTCCTGCAGGATGGCCCTGTAAGGTCAATATTGCACGTGAAGGCAGCTCCCCTTTGAATAGGGCTTCACTGGTGACTCACATGGTAAAGAATATGCCTGCAATGTGAGGAGACCTGGGTTCCACCCCTGGGTCAGGAAGATCCCCTGGAGGAGGGCATGGCAGCCCACTCCAGTATTCTTGCCTGGAGAGTCCCGTGGGCAGAAGAGCCTGGTGGGCTGCAGTCCACGGGGTTGCAAAGATTTGGACACAACTGAGCGACTAACACTTTCACTTTCACACTTCGCTTTGAATATGACAAATACGTTGCGTAGAAAACCACAGGGAATCCGTGGGTTCCTGGAATAAATACTAAGAACTGAAGCAGTCTTTTCCTCAATTGCAAATTTGACAACTGAACTGTGTCTGACTAATACCGAGCACCCATGTTGACCTGTGGAGGTCAATAGCTGGGCTTCATTAAACTCTGTACTGACTGCTTACATTTTCTAAATAAGGAAGAAATGGCCAAATGGGAAAATTCAGTTGCACCTGGACTAAATTGTTTTATTTTTTTAAAGGATAATTTAATTGTATATGGTCAATGAAGACCCTCTTTTGAAAATTTGGTTTTAGGTTAATTTCAGTCACGAGAATTACTCCTATGGAGATCAATGTTTTCTTAGGGGGATTAGAAGATCCCCTGGAAAAGGAAATGGCAATCCACTCTAGTACTCTTGCCTAGAAAATTCCATGGATGGAGGAGCCTGGTGGGCTACAGTCCATGGGGTCGCAAAGTGTCAGATACGGCTGAACGACTTCACTTTCAGACATTTTCGTTCATCTGTAAATCTTGGGCTAAGTTGTCTTTAGAAAGTAGAGATAGTGCAGAAAAATGGGAGCGTCTATAGACCATAACCCACCAGGCCCCTCTGTCCATGGGATTCTTCAGGCAAGAATACTGGAGTGGGCTGCCATGTCCTCCTCCAGGGGATCTTCCCAACCCAGGCATTGAACCTGCATCTCTTGCCTCTCCTGCATTGGCAGGTGGCTTCCTTACCACTACAGCCCCCGGGAAGCCCTACCTAAGTCATGCCTATAATGTGGTCCAGGGCTCGCAAAGAGTTGGACACGACTGAGTGACTGAACTGAACTGATAATTATCTAGACTTCCAGTTTTCACTTGTGTAAGGTGGGGCTAATAAGGAGCCTCATGTAAGAAACTCAATAAAGTATGATATATTTTACAGTTTCTCTCCATTTTTCTACATTTGTCATATATACACTTAATAGTAACTTATTTTAGCAACTCGCCATTTTCAAGTCTTTCTTAGAAATAACAGGCCTCTTCTCGTGCTTATATTTTCATATTTAATCAGGTTGCATCGTGACGGTAACAAGTGCAACGGGCAATGAGCATACCTGTGGTGGAACACGGCTGCAGCCTGTCCAGCACACGCCCTGCGGGAGCAGAAGGGCCCCCTCTAGAACAGGGCTGCGGCCCAGCCGCACTCGTGAGCTCCTTGTGTAGTTCCCAGTTGTCTAGAGACCGAGTTAGAAAGGGGAGAGAAAGGTGAAATCAATTTGAGTACTGTACTATGTTTAACTCAGTACATCATCACATTGGCTACCTTGATTAGATAGTCATAAAAATGAGATCATCTTTTGTCTTTATTTTGATTACTACATATCTTGTTTTTTAAAACCTTTTGTTGGGGTCTGGTTGCTTTACAATGTTGTGTTAGTTTCTACTGTCCAACACAGTGAATCAGCCACAGCACATGTATGTGCCCCTCCTTTACGGACTTCCTTCTCATCTAGGTCGGCACAGACAGTGAGCAGCGTCCCGCGTGCTGTGCAGTAGATTCTCATTAGTTATCCATTTTATATGTAGTATCAGTGGTGTATACATGAATGACTGAGATATTTGCATTCTTTTTTTTTCACATGACGTCTTCAAATATTTCACACTTGCACCCCATTTCAATTCAGACTGGACACATTGCAGAAGTCCAGTATCCACTTGGGGTTCGTGTCCACCATACTGGAGAATGCAGCCTAAGGATTAGCCTATTTTTCACGGGTGGTCAGCGTGCCATGGGTCTTGATCCTTATTGTAAAAGGAGGAGTGGGCGGCTGTGGTCCATCCAGGGAGGCAGGGAAGGGGGTGGTCTGCTGAGGCAGGTGGTTCCAGGCCTGAGGCAAAAGGACGGTCATGTTGAAAATCTGCTCCAGGCAGGCGGTCATGACATTTTGTGACATTTCATAAGCCAGCTCGCTTGATCCTCGGGACGGCACCTGAAGGGAAGTGCTGGGAGCCAGGAGCAGGGGCGCACAGTGACTTGTTGGTCGTCACAAGGCAACTGAACGGCACGGCCGTTTAGAAGCTATACTTTACAGAAAGGAATCAAATTGTGTCATTTGCAGATGGGCCTCGAGTCTGTCTGTCATGCAGAAGGAAGGAATTCAGAAAAACATACACGTTAACGCCTATCTGTGGGATCTAGAAACATGGTATCGGTGAGCCTGTTTGCAGGGCAGGAGTAGAGATGCAGAGGCAGAGAACAGACGGGCGGGCCCAGTCAGGGAGGGAGCAGGTGGGATGAGTCCAGGGAGCAGCACTGACATGAGTACATCAGCTTGTGCAGAACAGACAGCTAGCGGGGACCTGCTGTAGGGCACCAGGGGTTCAGCATGGAGCTTGGTGATCGCCGAGAGGGGTGGGCTGGGGCTTGGGAGGGAGGCTTGAGACGGGGGGGATATATGTATACAGACAGCTGATTCATTTTGTTGTACAGCAGAAATTAACAACACTGAAAAGCAATTGTACTCCAATTAAACTCCCTGCAAATTATTTAATTTATATGCAGAGTATATCATGCAAGATCCCAGACTGGATGAAGCACAAGCTGGAATCAAGATTACCAGGAGAAACATCAATAATCTCAGAGATGTAGATGACACCACCCTTATGGAAGAAAGTGAAGAGGAACTAACGAGCATCTTGATGGTGGAAAAAGCTGACCTAAAATTAAGCATCCAAAAAACTAAGATCATGGCATTCAGTCCCATTTCAGGGCAAATAGATGGGGAAAAAATGGAAACACTGAAAGCCTTTATTTTCTTGGGCTCCAAAGTCACTGTGGACAGTGACTGCTGCCATGAAATTAAAAGATGCTTGTTCCTTGGAAGAAAATCTATGACAAACCTAGACAGTGCATTAAAAAGCAGAGACATTACCTTACCAACAAAGGTCTATATAGTCCAAACTGTGATTTTTTCAGTAGTCATGTTTGGATGTGAGAGTTGGACTGTAAAAACGGCTGAGTGCTGAAGAATTGATGCTTTTGAACTGTGGTGTTGGAGATGACTCTTGAGAGTCCCTTGGACAGTAAGGAGCTCAAACCAGTCGATCCTAAAGGAAAACAACTCTGAATCTTCATTTGAAGGACTGATGCTGAAGCTGAAACTCCAATCCTTTGGCCACCTGATGTGAAGAACTGTCTCACTGGAAAAGACCCTGATGCCGGGAAAGATTGAGGGCAGGAGGAGAAGAGAATGACAGAGGACGAGATGGTTGGATGGCGTCACAGACTCGATGGACCTGAGTTTGAGCAAGCTCCAGGAGACAGTGAAGGACAGAGAAGCCTGGCGTGCTGCAGTCTCTGGACTCACAAGGAGTCGGCCTGAACAACAACATCTTGGTAGCTCGTAAGAACAGAAATCAATCTCTTCTACTTCTGGAGGCCAGAGATCGGGGCTGAGTCAAGGTGTGGGCAGGGCTGTTCCTGCTCAGGAGCGGGAGCCTGTTCCCCTGCCTCTCGGAACTTCTGGCGGCTGCTGGCACTTCTCTGCGTGTGGCCACACTGCTCCAATTCTGCTCCTCGGATCTCGTGACTGGCTCCCTTTTGATCTGTCCTCAAATCGCCTGTGGCCTCCCGTTTTATAAGAATGCTGGTATTTACACTGAGTGTCCATCCGGACACTCTAGGTGACAGTCCCATCTGAAGGTCTGTAACGTCACCACACCCACAAAGTCCCCTCCACATGTGTCGTGATGGCCACAGGTCCCAGGATTAGGCCTGGGTATCTTCAGGGGCTGTTATTCAGTCCACCACATGCATTTTATTCAGTCCACCACATGCATTTTATTCAGTCCACCACATGCATTTTGAAGGAAGGGATGATACTTAACCCTTTCAAAAATCATTCTACACCTAGGTGAGTGAGTGTTATACTTAAAATAAATAAGTACGACTTACATACTTCGTGGGACTTCCCTGGCGGCCCAGTGGCTGACACTGTGCTTCCATGCTTCTGCTGCAAGAGGTCCAGGTTCAGTCCCTGTCTGGGAACTAAGATCTCACTTGCTGTGCCCGGTATGGCCGAAACAAACACACAAATAAAAACACATCTCTGATTAGACTGGGTTTACAGAAAAACAAAGATATAATTAATTAACCTCATTTAAAAATAAATGCTTTGATTGTCAGTTTTACTATGGGGCTTGAATGATAAGGTTTCTGTGTAGTAAAGAGCATAACTAGGCTTATCTTATTTGTTGGCAAAGTTACAGTTTGTGTAGAAAAGTGTAAGATGAGTCAGGTTAGGGAAAAAATTGACTTCTAATCCCAAGAGCCTTGAGTTATTTATATATTTATTTTGCTTTGACTATATTCATATTTTTATTGATGTATTGTTGATTTATAATGTTTCAGATGTTAAGTAAAGTGACTCAGTTTTAGTTTAGTGATTCTTTTTCAGCTTTTTTCATTACAGTTTATTACAAGATATTGAGTACAGTTCTACAGTACCTACTCTACCGTAGGTCCTTGTTTATTTTATATATAGTCATGTGTATGTTAACACCAAATTCCAACAAAGGGATCTAGTTAAGCAGATGTATGAAGGGAAGATAGAAATCTTTCTGGCAAAGCCCACAGCAAGAGAGGGAAAACTGGCAGAAGAGAGTCCAGGCAGAGGTAATGAACGCTGAGAATTTGCTAGAACTAAGGGAAAAGAGTAAGCCATTGGCTCCAGAAATGAGGTTATGAGGGTGAGATAGGAATGCAGACCTTATACTTAAAAGTTTTTAGCACAAAGCTTTACATAGAACAAGAAGAAACACACCACTTAATGAATAAATCAAAGAATGAAAATCAGTGTGCAGAGGGTATGTGGTATGTTTCAATACTGATATTTTGGGATTTTTTTTCCAAAAGTTTCTGAATGTGTGGATGATGTATGTATACACAGCTCTCATCTACTCTCAGTTTCATCAAGGGAAAACTGATTTTGAAGGACTGAGAAGCATCTCTGTGGGCCCAGGCTGCACACAGTGATCTGTGCCTACTCAGACCTCGGTCTGTGCATCGGCCACTGCTGGACCCATCACTACAGTCACATCCGTGGGCTGAGGGATGTGCCCACCCTCGGCGACAGAGATTCTGGGCTGATAGAGTCCTGGGTGACGGTTATCTTCTTCCTTTTCTCCATTTACTTACATTTTACGTTGGTATCCAGATCCAGGAGTGCCCTAGAATCGGGAGGAATTCTCAGGATCCACTTCTAAATGCAAAGCACAACAAATAAATAAACACGACAAATAAAGAAGGTGGGCTCGGGGCTGGTTTTGATCTGTTCTTCGGTACTGCAGGAGCTGATTTTGCTGGGCTCTCAGGGGATGCAGGATGGGGAGCACATTAAAGCTGGCTTTTAAAATTCTTCCTTAAAGGAGCCTCTGCAATGAGATGAAATTGCTTCAGAAGAGAAGGGCTCTCTTCCGAAAGCATGAAAAAGGTAAAAGGCGATGAAATCAAAGTAAGGAAGAGGGGAAAACATTAGAATAAAAGGCTCAAGTGTAAGGGAATGTCACTTGGGCTGAGGGAATAGACGGTGAGTGAAGTGGAGAAATACTGGAGACCACAGAAAACAGAAGGCCTTTGAAGAAGGGTCTGGCATCATGAAAAGAAGGAGGCTGTTTGCGTAACAAGAAGGATTTGCATTCGATCTAAATTAGACGAGATGAAGGAGGAAAATAAAGAATTAGCTTCCACTCTGTTTCGTGTCTATGGACTGTAGCATTTTACCTCTAAAACTCTCTGTACATCGGCTGCGCAGAGAGGCTCAGTCTTGAACTTGGGTTGAAAAGACCTCGTGTGAACAAGCAGCATTGGATTCAAATTCTTAAACTGCCTTCCTGAGAGACCTTAGGTGAATCACGGTGACTTTTTCCCGTTTCAAACTCGTCCCCTCCTGTGACAACAGGGACCTGCATGGAGGTGTGAATTTAAAACTGAGTTGGGGAAAGCGGGGGAACATCTGTAAACACTGTCAGTGGGAACTGGAATATGCTTCTGGCTTCAGTTCTACCAGGACCATGTGGCCCTGTGGAAATGTTGAAGGCGGTGACAAAGAGAATGCAACTTGTGCATATACTATGGCTACAGCCAAGAGGAAATAATTGATATGGTACAGACAATGACTATTTGTTCTTTGTGTCATTTTAGCTTCATTTGTACAATCTTTTGAGTGTTAGAGAAAAAGATATGTTGACTCACAGATGCTAGGATGCAGAAGTGGAGTCTTCCTCCTTCAGTCTGTCAAGTCTGACACACAGTCAGAAAATATTCAAGTGACAGATTTCTTGCACTCACTTTATGTCGGAGGGAACTTTGCCCTGACACAGGAAAGATGAGATTCTTTAAGGTGAAAATGGTGGCAAAGGCATGTATTACCATGATTTATCCCTCTTGTTTATAACACTTATATCTGTTAACAGACCCTCCCTGATCCCAAATTCTGTGCATAATCAAAGCCCAGATCCTATCCAGGGGATCTCCTTAGGAGGGTATTTTGAGTAGCTCCAGGAAGGTGTATTCCTAAATTATCTCCTCTCTTGGGGAGCTATTCCTTTGTCTTAAAAATTCCCTTTCTTGGGGCTTCCCTGGTGGACCAGTGGGCAAGACTCTGCTCTCCAAACGTGGGGGCATGGGTTCAAGCCCTGCTTGGCGAACTGGATCCCACATATGGCAACTAAGAATTCACAGGCCACAACCAAAGATTCTGGTGCTGCAACTAAGACCCAGTGCAGCCTTCCCTTTCTTAAAGGTTTTCTTTGAAAATGTGAATAATCTTGAAAATGGTAATGTAGAAAATCACCAAATCTGACCTTAACATTCTAAATCTTGCTATTTTGACTCTAAGCCTTTTGCCCAGACCACTTTACTGCCTGATTCTAGCTTTCCACGTTCCAAACTCTCTTCTCCTATGGTGCCAGTTCTCTTTCTAAAACTCAG